TTGGAGAGCTCGGGTGGCAGACGGTATTGATGGTGCTATTTTGCGAGGCGCCAAAAAGCTCTCGTGTTTGTCACTTCACACATTGTTGTCAAGAAAGGCGTGAAAATGAGCTGGCATTCACGTTAATGTGTGTCTAGATACCAAACATGGTGACGGTGTTGGAGTGTATCAGCTTACCCCCTCCAATCGCTAGCCACTGGTCTATAGTATAGGGCGTCGAGGTGCAAGCTTCTGAACAAGGGGGTCTCGCCCCCCCCCCCCCACCCCTGTAGACGTGGCGGTCGGTATTAAAATAGGTAACGGTGTTGCGGTGTATCGTTTTCTTCTTAGGTCTCCCCTTAATCAACAATCACTTGTCTGGTGTGGGGGGCATCCAGGGGCGCGGTTGTTTCAACCAGGGGGCGTTCATGACCCCCTGTAAACATTATGATGGGTATATACCTAAGAAAGTGTATACGAATGGGTGTAAGGACGGTGTCTCCGTGTATCATCTTTCTATCATGTCCGACCCCCAGACGCCAGTCACCGGTCTGGTGTCGGGACATGAAGGGGTGCAAATGTCTCAACAAGGGGGTATCCATGTGACCCCCTGTCAACATGTTAAACGGTGGGATATGGCGGTGTCATCCTGTATCACATTAACACCAGACATCTCTCGCTAGGCACTTGTCTAGTTAATGGTAGCCTATGACTTCAAATCCTACAGGGGTGTGAGAGTGTCAACGAGGGAAAGAAAAGGGGAGAGGGGAAGGGGGAGGGGGGGGGGGTCATGTTACCCCTGTACATATTTTATGTAGTTATAAACATGATCTATGAAAAGGGCAAAGTAGAAGGGGCTTGACCCATAGTGCATTGTTAGGGGTGGGTTAATGTCATATCAATACATTAACTGTATGAAACTGTGCGTATAGATGATGTGAGCAAAATATTTTAAACAGACACAGAAAGACACAGAGATACAGAGCGACAAAAAAAAAAGGATATCTCCTTGGGAAGATACCTCTTTTTTTATTTATCTCTCCTCTGTTCCACTGAAACAGAGGAAATAACTAATAGTAAAGGCAAAAGTTAAGTTTCCAAATTCCATAATCCAAACGTCTTCACTATTATAATCCAATCAACGTGACAGTTCTTTTAGAATTTAGATGGTGATAACAATACTAAAATGTTACCCGACAGACAACTAAGCAAAGCAAAAAATAGTGACAAAAACAAATTATTCATCTTCTTTTATTTCAGTCATGAATAGTAAGAAAGCCACAAATTTTGTTCTGTTTGTGTTTCTATTTCTTCTAAAGCTTGAATAATATTAATATGGAACATACTTCTAAACATTTCGTGAAATTTACAAGCTTGTACTTACCTTTATAGGCCTATGTAGTTATTTAGTATATAGTTTATTCCTTATAGTTTGGATGTTATGGACTTGTTTGGTCGGTAAGATAAGTGTAATATATATTGTTTTGCTTAGAACTTTTAGAAACACTTAGAAACACTTATTTCTGTGACTTTTATCATATTATAATGTAATACAAATACTATTAAAGTCTGAAAAGAAGAAGAACATAAAATGAAGAGGAAGAAACAAAAAGAAGGAGAGGAAATGAAGAAAAGGAGTAATTAGAAATTAGTAAAGAAAGAGAGAGAGAGAGAGAGAGAATCAGTAGACATGAGCTTTGCTGGCTAAACTACTACCTCATTAGCTTACAAGTTTTCAAAACTTTTTGAAACTATTTATTAACCAATAAAACCGTTTCCCCGAAGAATATATTTGCCTGAAGTTAACTGACCATTAATTCTGAAAAAAATGTAAAGTGGCAACATTTCGAGAAAAAAACAATAACTTCCACATAAATGTGTGCGTCTTTTATTACGAGTTAATGATTTGTCAATTCCATCAGAGGTGACGAAAAATTAACTAATAAATTATTTGAAGTTTCCCTGTGTGGTCTCGTCTGATCAATATTCCTCGGGGTCAGTTTTGTTACCCATTTCTTGATGTCAATGTTCGGCATTTAGTTTGATCCGATGTCCACTATTCACTGTGTTAGTATCCCGAGATTAATGTAAATAATGTGCCGACACCCTTCCCCACTGTGAAAACACTGGTTACAATTTTGACAGCCAACCTTTTCTTTTCTCAATCACCCTTTTCCTTCCCCTTACAAAGTGCAATTCCAGAACGATTGGGGCAGTTTAGGGGTGTGAAAAGAGGCGGTTTGGTGGCTGGAAAAGCTCTATTGAAATCAGAATGGGTTCTTAAAAAACACACGTATAGCGCCATAAGCCGTGCTACGATCAGCACCAATTACCTCTATGTTATACTCTCTCTACAGTTATCCCTCGGCTCCGCGCGACACGCCGGCGACACGAAGCTTTCCCCGATCGAAATTCTATTACACCTCTAAAAAAAGGGGGTGGAAAAAAAGAGAATAGCTAAAGCTCCGCACCACTTCTTTTGAGAACAAATCGCCCCGATTGTTGGTGTAAAATAGCCCACTGAAATGAAGTGACGAGGCGATGAAAAGACTTGTCTGCTAGGCAGCTTGAAACAATGTGGATTAGAATCGGAGTTAGGTGAGAGGGGGGTGCTTTCGAGCAATTCCTCTACTCCGTGTTTGTATAGAAATTAATCATCCACCGCGCAGCCCTGGCGCCAGTCAGCTTTAGTCGTATAAAAGGGAATGAATAGGTAGCCGTGGAGAATACAATAAGCCTTCACACCTCACGTGTTTTCTACCGCGCTTATTAATTATGTTAACACTTCGGCAAGTCAACAACAATTATCCGCGAAATACGAGTAGGAGTGGGCGTGGCTGATTGCCCCCCGTACGTGCCAATCATACCAGGCTTATTACTCCCGACATAGTCATTTTTCATACATCCAACACCCAAACGTAGACGTGTAATTCCACAACGTTGTCTTGAAAAACAGGATTTGGTTAGCATCACACCATTTAAGGTGAGAATCGTCAGAGAATGGTTTGGATTGTTTAAGGCCATTTTGTCTACCCTTTCAAAAGAACTGGTATCGCACTGTGGCCTTAGGTATTGAATAGGAAGTGTTAAAAGAGGGTGCGAATTGCCTTTTAGTCTGATGTTAAGCACACAAACAAGAGAGTGGAGGTGCCAGTGTGGGCAGTCAATCGGATCAGCCCTCATCAGTCTCTTACTGCCCGGAAACTCACGATCAATACCATCGATAATGCCGGCGTCCACCAAAACCCACTGGCAAATTGCTGTAACCGCCTCGAAAAACATTCCATTTATTGCCTGAAATTGATCGAAACACTGGCCGCAGCCGTCTCGGTTTTCCCCTTGATATCAGATTAAAGAAATATGATTATGAGCCGTGTGGATGTTTTTATGGCAGTGTTTGGGAATTCACAGTCGCATCACGTCTGTTTGCCAATCCATGTTTGCTCTTCGTTCGAGACTGAAAAAACGGCATGCCGAACGCCAGATCGAAAGAGCGCCCGCATTACGTCAAACACCGCACAGTCCCATCGGCAACGAGTTCGATAGCTTTGCTTGCAGCACAACCAGGCTTGTCACGGAACATAATTCCCTATCCTCCACTCTCTCTACCCCTTCCTTGACCCATCCTTGAAGAGTACTTACAATCGAAAGCAACATGAAACACCCTAATATCGCATTTAAGCTACTAAGTTGACTAACTACGCTTAATTATGATCTGACATGCCCTGTTGAAGAGCCAATAACACTGAATAGGGTGTAGATGAGTGAGACTAGTCAGCCATCCGAAAGCGATGAATGAAAACAGATAGTAAGTAGACTTTATTGTGTGTCGTCACCATAACTGGCGCCACTCATTCTTACATAGCGTAGTCAGAAAGGAATGCACCAACAACTAATCACCTTTAGATGTTCCACCACATTATTTTTCTCGCTTTTAACAAACCCGCCTACCACAAGGACCTTATTGGTAAAAAAAAGAAAGAAAGACCAGAGAGAGAGAGAGAGAAAAAAAAGCTGTGATCTTTAGATTGAGTGATAAAACGGGACGGCTTTTTAATACGAAATTGTCAAATCAAGAAATTACCATGAAATCACAAAAGAACGGGGGAATAATTTAGTTAGTTGTTCCCAACACGTTTGCTGATAATATGTTTAGTGATGTCTATCTAAAACCAATATTGGACGGGGGGGGGGGGGTGATAAAGATGAAAGAATGTAGCGGCATTGACTTAAAAAGAAAATTTCTGCTTACAAAGTAGTGTTCAATTCACGGGCTTATCATTTGGATTTTATGGGCGATAGAGAAGTGTTACAATTGTTTATTACAATTTTTCTTGAAATCGTGTTAAAATACGATTATTGAGGCTTGTTCTCTCTACACGAAATCCATACTAAATCATAATACGGCATTCTTATCTAAATTATCACTTCATAAATATATGCTGTTAATGATAAACTTCTTCTTTAATTTTACATATATTTGATATAAAATAGAGACGAGTTTTATCCAAAACAACGATACATAGAGAAAATACATTACCGAAAAGATAAACATCAGTTTCAAGCCGAGTAAAGTAAATACAATAATGTTTGATATATTCTATGATAGCACGTAAGATATGATCTGGAGTTGGCGACCGTTTAGTTCAATTCCCTTTGACTTGACATGTCTATTGTTACGTCACAGAAAGAGAAATATGTATAGTTTGACACCTTTTACATGGCACTGGTCCTGAGGCGTCCAAAAGAACCAGAAGAAGTGTGAAATAGCCTCTCAAAGTACTTTGCTTCTGTACAGAAAAAAGTTCCTCAAGGTTGTAGGGTTTTGCAAAGAATTGTGGTATGATGAAGGTGAGAGATGGAGATAGAGAGAGAGAAAATAAAGGGGGGGGGGTGTGAGTAAGCAAGGGTAAGTGTAAAGTTAAAGAGTAGTAGCCAGCCATCCTTTCGTGCTCAGTGATTGGCTTACGAGTGCTGTGAACACAACGGCCAATCACAAGGCGTGATCCGCTGGCGAAACATGTGAAACGTTCCCGGCTGCACGAAGCTGTACACTGCAACACACAAGCCGGTAGCTCGTGCGAAGCTAGCGAGAAATCGACGGAGAGAGAGGGACAGAGGGGAGAGAGAATGAGAGAGCGTTAGACTAGGGGTGATTATTGTAAGCAAAGTCTACACAATAATACAGCTGGCCACTACTAGACGTGTATCTGGGTGGCTAAACCCTCACATGTTCATAGGGATACAGACACCGCTATTTTGTGAAAGATCCCAAGTTTCTCGTGGAACATTTACTATCTGCCATCCATCATAACACTTCACTATTATTCCTCCAGTTGGGCGACTGTGTACACCCTCTGTACTACTCCGCATATTTATTTTTTTCCATATTTCAGGATATTTCAATCCGAGTGTTTCTTGGTTATCTTCTTGCATTTTACTGGATAACCTTAGAGCCTCTAGCTCAAGCTTTGGTGGTTCGTCGAGCTCGCCGACATCGTCTTTCTCTATGAAACCGGCATCGAACGACCACCACACCATGGCCTACGCACCCATAATGCCGCATCGTCTCAGCGACTTCTCCGTCAACTCCCTGCTCACACCGCCCCAGTTCTTCCCGGGAATGTTCGGCAGGAATGCCTGTCTGCCCGGCGCCGGACTCCCAGGATTCCATCTACCGAAATTCGGTGAACACCCAGCGGCCTACTCCCCGCATGACCTGCTGGCAGCGCACGCTCACCGCTCAGCCTTGGGTCCGTTGCATCCTATGGAGACACAAAGTGATGATTCTGATGATCCACAAGTTACTCTCGAATCCAAAGAACTCTGGGAGAAATTTCACAAAAGAGGAACAGAAATGGTCATCACAAAGTCAGGCCGGTGAGTTAATTATAATCTCTCCATCGTTCTATATTTGCCATTTGTACGCCTCTTATCTGGTTTTACTTGAGGCTGATGAAAATTAAGAAATTAAGCATTTTCACTTGTAAAAGAGAACCCAAAATTAGAGCAATATTTTGAGGATCATTCACTGTTAAAACTGAAAGTTTGTATTCATCCTTGAGCTGGCTAGTATTTTCAATACTATATTTAAAACACTTCGATGGAATGTTTGCAAATCTGTAAATATTTTATATTTTATTAGTCCCTAAATGACGGGAAAAATTATTTTAAATGTAAGCTCAATAAAAAGTGAACCTACCTTTTTGTAGTTTGACTTCGTAGTTAAGAAGTGATCATACTGAATAAGTTTACCTGTAATAAGTCTTATTATGTTGTTTGTGTCTAAGAGTATGCTTAAATTTTAATAAGTATATAGGCTAGGCCGCTTTTCATTTTTGAAGTTGAACACATACATTGTGGCAATGTTATAAGTCTCAGAACATTAAATCCATGTTGAAATGATTAAATAATATTCATTAGAAACTTCTGCGACGATTCCACTTAATCTTCAGAAGTTATATAAATACAGGAATGATTGTAGTGTTTAATTAATGATATCATTTTGTCGACCACATTTATTTATAAATTAATGTGTAGTTAATGCTATATAACGAAGTAGTGATATCCATAATTTGAAAAGTACTTTTATTTGTTAGCGTTAGTAAAAATAAATGTTCAAGATATACAGACGTCTACGTCTCTGTAATATGCAATTATAAGTTCGAGTTGAAGGTATATTAGAGCTTCTCATTATAACAATAAATTATTAAAGCAGTAGTTTAAGCCATTATTCATGCAAATGTGGGATTAATGATGAAAATCTGGATTTGTAACCCAAGTTAAGTCTCGAGTAATCTAGGATATGTCCAGAGCACATGAATTGAGAATATAAGCATGACGAAAATGTGACAAAATTACCGCTGTTAGTAAGATGTAGGCTTCTCACATTGACTAAATAGATGTAAAAGGGCTGTAGTAAGATAAGCTTATAACTGTAAGACAATTCAAAGTCAACGGATAGGGCTTGAGCGGAACGCTACGGCACCCGGCACCCGCAAGCCCGGGCGTGGTGTTTGGCCAATACCCATCTAACTGCTAGGGCCCATGAGTTGATTCCGGGTGCCAGTACAGACATAATTTAGGAAAAACCTCAACTCTAAGAGCTAGATCACACCTTCCCATACGACATTTGTTCCAACTTTTTTCACATTTATGTCCCCATTTTTCAATATTTAGGCCATGTTTTGCGAGTGTTAGATATGGATTTGTAGGGTTTCACGCATGGCTGTTCAGGTTGTATTTGTTACTGTATAAAGATACCCCGACAATAGCAATGCACACAGAGTCGGGTATTGAAGCCGTGGTACTCTTTTATGTATTGTTGTCCCTTTTACAGTGACTTGAAAAGACGAAAAGTAGTTGAAAAGGCATTGAACTTAAGTTCATCACGGGGAATAGACTCGCTTCACTGTTACTGTTGCTATATAATTTGAATAGATAAAAGTTATCAAATCAAAGGCCACAGGTGAATAACGTTCATGTTTAAAGTTTATTTTTTTCTTCACATTCTATAAACTTACATTACGAATCAGTGTCACTTTGAATTGCTCATATTCATTTCGTTTAGTTTACGATGTTCAGAGATATCTACTGTGAAATATTTCATTTAATAGCATTTCTCGTGTCGACAAAGATGATTCCAATATCATTTCATGAATTATCATGATTTAAATGAAAGTCGTATACATTTGAAGTTTGCAAGAACCTCGTTTGAAATGGAAAATGTAAATTAAGTGGCATATTGTTATTAGTAGGTAATCTCTCGCAGTGAGGCGGATATTAGTTTTTTTACCCCGCGTAAACAACACAAGCTTCATGAATATAAACTCCTCCTAATCTGTCTTTATAGTATAAATCTATTATAAATATTAACTTCTAAGGAGTTGTAATAATATTGACGTTTTTGTTTTAATGCCAAGAACATATTACACTTCGGTAGCCTTGTATATGCTACCCTTCACAGTTTGTATGAAAAATAGGAAGATAAGTTTTACGAGTTGCTCTGGTCATTTTTCTCTCTTAAGAAATGGGGATATCAATCTCTATGAGAGGGCGAATCAATCTTGTTTTGAGCCTGGTCTAAACTAATTTTTCGAGAGGTCGAGAGGAAGGTGAAATTTTGGAGTCATTTGTTTCAACGTCCAAACAAACAGTCCACTCTAGTGTTTTTCTACTACAGCATCACCTCAACCGTGTATCGTTTAATATCTGGGGAAGCCAGGGAAAATATTTTTTAAAAAAACGTGTTACGAGTGAGGATGATACGAAAACACCTCTTGTATTCATTCATTTGGGGTGACTATTATGAGTATTTCTAGACGATGCGAAAATCATAATTTGCAATTGAATAGTTTCAGTTTGTATCGTGTGGGTTGCGTTTGCTACTGCTAAGCTGACCGCAAAATGAACGATGGGCTAGATATCAACATACTTGAATCGTTGTAATTACCACTCAAATGAGCAATTTTACGAGGATTTTTTTCATAAAAAATATTGTATTGTAAAATTGTAAACCAGTGTTTGTATTTGTAGTTGTACGTTCAAGTACTTGCTGGGTTTTGAGTGCGGAAATGAAACAGTATGCGGATATACGATTTGGGACATTTAAGTTTCATGAAGCAGTTAAAAGCCACCTATAGGTTTATCTTCCCAAATAAGGTTTCTTCACATTATCCATGGATGAATTTTTAAGTGTAGTAATTTGGGTTATCTACTATCTCAAAGAGAAATACATGAATACATTTCGAAGAGCAGGAATGATTTTTTTGGGGAAAGATTTCTACGGATAAGCAAGCGTTGGCATGACTGACTGCGACTTAATATTAATTAATCCCACCCTGCAAGGTACGGAAATTATCAACCTCCATACGCCTCTTTTCCATATGCGCCTTTCTGCTCCTCTATAATTAATAAATCACACTTCTCTTGTAAAAGAAATAAATACTGTGAAATCACCTAGCGCGTGAAGACATAACAAGGTTGATATTTTGTTATTTGGTGATAATTTGTCTCGTAGACGAAGAAAATGTTAAAGAAATGGAACGAGGCGCAGACGCATGATCTAGTTCTTGAACAGTTTTTCTCATTTGGCAGCCAGAAGAAGACTGGTATACTCATCATAGTGTCAAGACGCTCTATAAGAGAGAGTGCGGTTCTTCCCAGCAGGTGTGGGTATATATCTACCAGTCTTTTAATATAACACATCTCGTTTGTGTATGTATGTAACTCTTCCTCCTTGTTGCGAATTATGTTGGGTAAAAAACGGGGGATGTCTTTTAGGAACTGATATGGGGCCCTCTTTTGGGGGATGCAGTAAATCTGGGTTATTAGGGCGACGGGAAACCGAGAGGTAGGAGATTTGTCGTTGTTGTGCCGAGCAGAGCAGGGGAAAACAACAAGGATAACGAACAATTCGGGGACAGTAATATGGTTTGTACTTGGCAATGATACCCAACGTAAGAGAGACATAATACGTAAGCTCTTTGATCATACTTTCTATACAAATTTGATATCATATAGGGGGCATTAATGGATCAAAGCCTATGTATATATTCTTGATGTATTTTCGGCCTATAAATTCATATGGTACGTAACACGGGTGCATCCCATGAAATCTTTTTGATGAAATACTTTGATATGCACTATTCATTTTGTTATTATTTATTTAAGATTATTTTGAAGTCATTTAAATGAGGTATTTGTTCATGAGCATCCGTAGTTTTAATAACTCAACATTTTCAATATGCATGTTAAAATCTTTCACGATCAACCATACCCATATTAGGTATTTTAGTTGATACAATAATTATGTGTGTAGTTATCAAATCGTTTTAAATGTACATGCTAATTCTAAATTGAAAATGTAGAGAGATAATCTGAACAAAATTGCAAGCAGTAGAAAACTTTCATTTATTCTGTTAGATTTGAAAATCGTTCCGATCTTGGGGTTTAGTAGTTCATGTTTATTGATTCAGATGATTTCCATAAGTATAACAGAACTGTCAAGATAGAGCAATATGTGAACTACAGCACAAATATTATCTCACCGAGTCGGTAAGAAAACATGGGAAATTGTGATATTCTATAAATGATTTAAAAGGATTCAATCTCTTTCAGATCTCCTGGTTCTCCATCATTTTATAGCTGAACTTACTAACAAAGAATAACAAAAGAAGGGGGCGAACAAATGGCAATATTACATATCCATAGGTTATGCTTCCTTCTCTTCCCTCTATTAAAAGTACAATACTCTTTAAAAAATTGAATATGGCGATTAACTTATAGTAAATATGTATGAACGTTAATGAATGTCCACGAAAACATCATAAGCATATTGTTTTGAGAGATATTTGTCAATATCTAGTCACTATACTGGCCAAAATAAATGACTTTTCTGTAGTCCTTATTATATTCAGTGTCTTCAGACGTAGCCTACCTATATACTTGTTGCTCATTTATGTTTCCTATGTTGTTATGTTAAAGCAATCTTTAGCAATAAAAGTTATAGAATTTTCGATCTCTTAATAATTAAAAAAAAAAGCTCTATTGTATTACTATTTCTGTGTGTAAATGCTTACAGTTTTGTGCTCATTACTCCTAAAGCTATATAAATTTGCTTCGTTTTCAAAATCTCATTCTTTGTATGTTTGTTACGTACCCATCACTTTCCCCTCGAATTTATTATTGTAAAGTAATAAACAATTACAACTTTCTTGTCATTCATTTCCAAACTTTAAAACTCAATTCAACTTTATCTGTAAAAACTAATCAAACTTTGTCTTTAGTTGAGAACCTTTTCCTTATTTTTTCTTTCTTCTCCAACTTTCTTTTCTTTTTAACAGACGGATGTTCCCTTCTTTCAAAGTCCGCGTCTCTGGGCTGGACAAGAAGGCCAAATACATCCTCTTGATGGACATCGTCGCCGCCGACGACTGCCGGTACAAGTTCCACAATTCCCGCTGGATGGTCGCAGGCAAGGCCGACCCCGAGATGCCCAAACGGATGTACATACACCCGGACTCACCGAGCACCGGCGAACAATGGATGCAGAAATGTGTCTCATTCCATAAGCTCAAACTCACCAATAACATCTCCGACAAGCATGGATTCGTAAGTTCACATGAATCAAATGATTTTTTATTATCCCCTGTCTTGTTCAGTGAATGAATGAAAAATGACATTTTGTGTTTGACGAAAAAGAGAGAAAAAAAATCATATTGCAAGTTTGATAACTTAGCACATTGGTTTTGAGAAAATTCTAATCTATTTATTTTAAAGACTGAACTTTTAAAAAAAGAAAGAAAACAAAAAAATTGAAATAAATCGACACATCATTTTATATGATTGGTCCAAGTTTTGCTTGTTGTACATTCGAGATATATTGTAAATTTTAAGAGAAAAAGAACCCAGCCCGGAAACAAATTTTTTACGAAACTATATGATATAATCAAGTGGATACAAATGTTTGGAATAGTAAAATGACAAACAATATTTTCAGGTGCAGAATGAAACCAAAACGGCAGCATAAAAAAATAAATTAAGAATTAAGGAATCAGGAATATTCACATAATAAATACATTCATAAACGAATTCATAACATATAGTTAAAAACATACCAGTTATTGCACAAATAGTCTAGTATTTACACCTACTACTTTTAGGGCGACAACTTTGAGAACAAAGTTTTCTTGTAAATATATTGTACCATAGGTATACATATTTTTCTTTTGCTTACGAATTGTTAAAATTCGCCACGTAAAATAGGTCTTAATTTGGCAAGAAATCATGTATTTTTAATAATACAAAATAGTTATTACAAATCTCTGATTAGCCTAGGTTAAAAGGATTGAAGATTAAATACACGTCAAGTTCGGTACTACTTTCAGACGATCTCAGATTGTACACGTAACAAAGATACGTCGAAAGTCATATCTATAAACCTATACACTGATGGTTAGGAAATTATGATTGAAATCGAACCGGCTGTCAGACATTTGGTGAATGTTTGAGAATAAATGATACCAAAGTCCACTATAAAAAAATAGCATAATTGTTTGTTTGGGACAATTTCATAACTCTTCAAGGGGTTAATTTTCGACATTATAGAATGTCAATTAAAAAAGTTAAGCACGTTTCCTATTTTCATGAAGCTATCTTGTCACTGATAATACCATTACAAATATCATCCAATGTACAATTTGAAGAAGGAAAAAACCCAGTGTCTTGCTGTGTGACTTTAACTTTGCATACGGTTGTAGAAATAGCCATAATTCTAAAAATATCATGAAATATTTGAATATGTTACACGAGTAGGAAGGTCAAAACTATCTGATGAAAAAGATTTAAATGTATGAAACAAATATGGGTAGAAATAATTACAAAAATAATTGATATTGTGAGAAATAGCTATGCTAAAAGCAAACTAAATGATATTTTTGTTATATGCAAGTGGAAATATATTTTGACCAATTAATCAAAAGTTTAGACAGGTTGAATCGGGGTCCCCGTTTTCAAGTTTCCTATTATCCATTTTTGTTGTGGTCTAGCTGATATGTAATTTTTTGTGCTTTAAAAAGAATTATGCTAGTTTATGCTGCCAAGTCCCTTGGCAATTAGAGGCCTAATTTGCACAGGTCATTCTTTCAACCAGCCTCCATCGGTCATTTCATTATTCGGACATTCATAATCAAGCCTTGGCTCTTTCATCGGGGGAGTGGTTATTAAGGATCTGAAAATCGGACATCGAAATAGGTCAATTTTCCCTCGAGACTGTCTTTCTCAGAGTTCGTTCGCAAAAGAATTTCCTACGTGTGAGAGGATAAAGACCAATACATAGGGCCCCTCCAAATAAAGGACACCTCCTTTTTATTGCTATTGTGTTTACTTGCTAATTTGGCCTTCGATAGTCCTTGTTTAAGTCTATAAAACCTGGTGTCTTGGGTCCCCTTTTGATTGCCTGATCTTTTCTTACTATTGATTGTAGGTTTTACCTTCTGTTAAGTCAGTTGGAATCAATACTTACGCTAAATAGATCTGTCTGTAATATACAAACCACCGAACATTTTTCGATAGACTATCTCTATTGTAGGTAGATATATAATTATATAGCCCCTCTAATGATAAAAGGACGGTGAACTATGAGTGATAATGAAGTCTTGAATTCGATATGAAATTCTGAATTTTGTTTAGATTTTCAATTCATCATACAATGTTATTCTATGGATTACTAAGTATATGGAAGTGAATTTCGGGAGTTTGACATGGATCATGTGAAGAATATTGGCTCTCTTTTAATAATAATTGTTTTTAGGGGACAGGTTAACATAATGAACTAATTCTATTTTTTGTACACATTGAATACACAACAAGTGATTCACATTATTCATTTATTCTTAGTAACGACCTTTTTTAAAAGTGATAATTGCGGTAATTTTCCTATGCTAAAAAGAAATTACTAACAGATTATTATCGGTATTTTTTTCCTTAAATATCCAAAATGTCAAACCATTTTTTTCTTCAATCCTGCGATTCCTAGTCATCACTAAAAACCCATCAATATTCGCATTAAAAGTGGATTTATGAAAGCGTCTCGGCGCGATAACATAGGAAAACGGAAGGCCTGAAAAAGGGCACGAAGAAAGGGTAATATTTAGAGATGGATGGCGGCAGGAAGCGGTGGAAAATGTGATATTTCCTGGCTTTTCGCCTTCTAATTCTGTTGAATGGCAGCTTTTTTCGTTATGATACAATATGATGCACTTAAACTGGACATTAATAATATGATGATTGGATCGAAGTCTTAGTTATGTGGCCATGGGGTAGTGCTGGGGCTATTATTGGAGAATTTTTTTTTTCACACTCCGAATCAATAGGATTTATTGAGCGACTTTTGAATGCTCAATTCGCCGTTGAATTACGCGAAAAGAGGCGAAGTACAAATGCACCAGACACTAAGTGCTGAGGTATTGAGCCGTTGGAGATGGCTTTGTATGAAACGATAGTATTGAAATGAAAGATATTTTATTGGAAATAAATTATCAAGAAATACAGTATCACACGATTCCTAACTATATAGACAGCTAAATTCCTCTACAACATATAGGCTAGCTCTATATACCTACTAATTTGTAATTTACCCATGTTTCTGGATGTTACTTATGTGAATAGAGATGTAGATCTGTTTTTTGTGTGATTTATTAGGAGTTAAAGTGTAGTTATCAAAGTGCTGTAATTGAGTATTTCTTCTTAGTCATTGAGTGCTCGAAAAAAAATGTAATTTAGATGGTAAGGGGGGGGGGGGAGGAGAAGCCCGTTTTATTTTTTTGGTGGGGGACCTAGTACGGATTGTTCTCACAGTGTTCCACAAAGATACAAAGGGAACAACATTAACAAGAAGCCCCCACCTCTCTCGACATGATACCCTCCCCATAAATAGCCCGGATGCATGTTCATCGCTGCTTAGTGGTATATCGTCGTAATAAGATGTGTATGTGCGCGTGCTGAGTGCGGGCTCCTTGCGATGTGATACATAGATATGACCCGCCCAGGCGCGCGTTAATAACACACACACTTTGCGGTAAAGGAGCAGGCCTTTAGGCGAAAATGCTAGCCTTTATTACATCCCATCGAACAAAAGCCAGAGGAAAGAAAGAATATGATATAGTATTTCCAGCTCTCTTTTCACGGCTCTATCGTGTTTGTTTCTTGGCAAAACGTTTTATTTACGCTAAGCAGCCGCAAGCAATGAAACCTGGGGGCATCGGCTGCCTGAATGAAGAGGGAAGAAAGGTTTTGTACAAGTTCCTCTCTTTCTCTTTCTCTCTCCCAGTCCCCATCTTACACGCTCAAATTAACGGCAGACACTGATCTTATTCAATCCGACGACGTCAAAAAGGAAAGGGCACCCGATAATATCAATAAAGCCCCTAAGTAAATGTAGCAATTTTCCGATTTCATTCATCATGGTTGGTTTAAAAGCAAAACGAACCCCACTCCCTCTGTCGCATCACACAGAAATGGTGACCATTTCACCCATATTTCCTTTCTACGGATGATCTTGCGTCAATACCTTCAAGATGGATGCGTGCACCGTTCTCACCCTTCACTGACCACGTGATGACAAGGTCGCGAAATAATGTTGAAAACCTTTATCTAACCTTTACATCAATGCTAGATTCAAGAGCGCAGAAAAAAATAAATAAATGTAAATCACTTGTAGAGGCATCCAAGTAGGGCGATGATTCTACATTTTAATGATTAAAAAAAATACATCATTTTCAAAACTTCTTCTTGAATTAAGAGTTGTGTTCTAGTAAAATACGAGACGAATAGGGGAACATTTTTTTTTTAAAGCTCAAATTCTTCCCTGTCATTCATGTCGCAGTCGAAATGTTCTATTTGTCTACAGCAATCACATTACTAGAATATTGTTGAATGTATAGTCTTCATTTATGACCGAACATTATTAATACAAATATGCTCAGTAGGGCCTTCTTGACTGACGTCACTTAGTCAGTTGTTTGAAAGCAATTTGCATTTCTCAAGATTCATGTTAACTCCTAACCATACAATACACAAATACTGATCATATGTTTTTTTTGTCGGATTGGATTGTGTTTTTAGATCCCGGAATCTTTGTTATTAGTTTGACCTCTTTGTAAGATGGTCTGCCCTCTGCTTCAAGTTTGTCAGTTTTGTCGCCCAATGCTAATGATTACTCAAAAAAAATTGACTTCTATTCTTCGCGCTCCATTTATTGCCCGCCTTATCCGACGTGGGTGCATCTTCACATCCTGTTTTCGCGTCTCTCCCTCCACAAACATAAGAAGTCGTCTGCTGTAATGGGAACAGTCCTTGCTCTATAGGAACCAGTCTCCCCCACCTCTCTCTCTCTCCCTCTCTTTCCCCTCTCTCTCTCTCTCTTAAACCATCATCATGAGCATGATTATTATTGTGCGGTATAGACTTGACTGTTTGAGCAGGTAAATACACAGTAGCCAGTTTCCAGACGACGTGCATGCACCAAACAATCGTCGCACATGGCTTTCATTTTGGATGATGAGGAGTCAACTACCCTTCTCTAGCAGAAAGAGAGAGAGAGAGAGAGAGAG